AACGGGATCCCCAGGGGCTGCCCCTGTGGGGGCGCATTCAGGCAAATGAGCGAATATTCACAAGAACCCTCCTTTATCCGGACTTACGGGGAAATAGGGCACAGGCGACCAGGGGACCACAGACAATGGTCCCTGCGGGGCCCCTGGGAGGACTCTGGGGGTACTCGGTGCCTCTGAGGGGGACGGTGCCTCTGAGGGGGACTTACTGCCTGGTGGGGTCTTGGTGCCCGGGAAAGGGGTGGCTGGTTATTTTTTGACTGCACAAGTTGCCCACCACGGGGCCATGACCGGTGAGATGATGTTGGGGTCCTGCTGGGATTATGGCTCCGAGGGAGGCGCCCAGTGGGCCACCAGGTGCTGCGGCAGCGGGGCGCCCTGAAGGCAGCGGCTTCTGGAAGGGGGTCCTTCTGTACGTGGTGCCGCTGAGCCTGGAGGGCCGACCGCCCGCCCCCCCGCGCCTCCAGGGCTCCCCGACTCCGCCGCCGCGCTGTCTCAGCCCTCCAGCCCGCGGGAGGTGCCGGCGCGGCCAGTCGCTCCGCGGCGGGGCCGCCGCCCCTGCGTCCTGCTCTCGGCGGCTCCGCTGCAGTCTCGGTTCCGGACCTGCAGGGCAGAAAAGGGAAACCCGAGCCGGTGCCCTTCGTCCCAGGAGCAGTGGCTTCCTGGGGAGCTGGCGGAGGGGGGTGGCGCACGCAGGGCGACGGGGCCCTGGCCGAGGCGGGACTGGGCGGCGAGGGGAGCGAGCCCAGACCCGGCGCCGCCCACGCGGGCGAGGGTCAGATCGTGCAGGGCCCCGGGCATTGCGGGCGCGGGCCGGTGTGGGCCCCCCCTCCAGTGCTGGGGGTCCCCGCGCCCTCGGGCTGCACCCCTCCACCCCCGGGGGATGCAGCGGGCGTCCGGGAGAGGATGGGCGGGCGGGGTAGGGGAGGAAGGGGCTGGCGCGGGGGTCGCCCCGCCTCTGCACCCCGAGGGAACAGAGGCACACTCGCACAGCCGCGCTCTCCCCGTCCGGGGCCTAGGGGCGGCCTCCGCGGGTCGCGGAGAGTTCGGGCCGCTTCTCCTCGGCGCGGGGCGGGGGTGGGGGGTGGGGGGTGGAGGTATGTGGTGGGGTGGGGGGTCGGGGCGATGCATGCAGGAGGCGCCCTGGCCCGGGAACTACAACGCTGGGGGCGGGGCGTGCCCGCGGGGCGGGGCCGGCGCGAGCACCAGAGAGGCGGAGGCGCCGACCCCCGGCCACATCGCGGCCCTGGGCACCCTCAGCCCGACACACGCGGACCGCGCGCGCGTCCACCCCTCGCCGGTCACCTCGCGGGCTCGGCCGATCCCCCACCGCAGGGCCGAGCGATTTCCCCGCAGACGTCGGGGGCTCCCTAGTTCGAGCACGGGTGACGATGACAGCCCCGACCGTGCCCCGATGCCCGTGGCCCTGCACGCTTGTCTCCCTGCCAGCGGGACCCCGAGGGGGCAGAATAGGGGTGCCCGGGAACCGACCTGATGCGCAGCGAGCTCTCGCCCCGCCGCCCCCGCCGCGGGGTTTGTCCTGGGGACGGGGCGGCGCCATCAGGGACTGGCCCACGCGGGGAGCGCGGCGTCTGCGCCGGGAAACGTCTTCCCCTGCGAGTCCCAGGGTCCCCGCGGGCCTCCACTGACGGGACGAGGCCACCGGCGGGCCGGGGTCGCCCTCGAGACGGACTGACGGACACGAGCGCAGCCGCCGCTGCCGCCCAGACCGAGTCCACTAGTGGGGCCGGAGCCTGAGCAAGTACGCGGGACCCCCCAGGCTCAGGAGGGGGCGAGGAGAGCAGGGAAGGGCCCCGGGCGGGACCCCCCCAGGCTCAGGAGGGCGGGCAGGGAAGGGTGAGGGGTGCAGGGAAGGGCCGCTGGCGCGTGCGGGCTCTCGGCACAGTCACCAGATCATGTTGGGGCGCGGAGGGGCGCAGGGGCCTGATAAACTGCGCAGCTCGCGCCCCAGACGCGCCAGGGGCGGGCGGGCGGGTCAGGCTCCTCGGCCAGGCGGGCGCTGCGACGGGGACAAGGGGCAGCCGCGCCCTCAGCACAGTTTTCCGGGGCCAATAGTGGGGGCTGGGAGGCTCATGCTCCCCCCAGCCCGGAAGGCAGGGGAGCCCCTCCCGGAGCCCAGCCCTGGCGCGGGGTCCTGGACACCGAGGGCCGCGCTGGGCAGGACGCGCTCCCCGGACGAGGCTCCGTGGGCGCGAAAGGGCCGCGACCCCCGAGACCAGCGCTCCCCGCGGCCCCCCCAGGGCCAGGCCCGCGGCCGTCGGGAGACCGGGCGTTGGGGCGCGAGCTCTCGGGAAGGGAACGGGGTGTCCGAAGGCGCCCCAAGACAGACGTGGGGGGGGGGCGCGCAGGAGGCCTGGGCGCCGCGGGGTCGGAAGCCCGAGGCCTGGTCGGAGGCGGCGCCGGCGGCGTTTCCCGGGTCTGAGGAGGCCGCGGGGCACCGGTGGGGGCCGCCACGTTTAGGGCTACGCGGGAGGAGTCGGCGGCTTCCCCGCCCGAGCCCGCCTGTCCCCCGCGCCCCTGTCCCGCCGCCTCCGCCTCCCGGCTCCGTCTGCGGGGACAGGACAGCCGCGGCCAGGACGGGGCGGCGGCACCGGGCTGCGGGGGGCTGTGGGGGCGCCGGGGATCGCGGGGTGGGGAGGGGCCGCTCCGCTGGCCCGCAGCCCCCAGGCCGCTCTCCCGCCGGCGGGTGGGTCCCCAGGGCGCCTGGGGCCGCGAGAGCCCACGGGGAGGCCCCGTCACTGCGGCTCTGCGGCCCTCCCGGCGTGGCTCCCCCGCGGGCTCCGGGGCGGAGGAGGCTGAAGTGGAAGTGGGGAGGTGGGCGGGGCCGGCTGGAGGGACCCCGGGGCCACAGGTGCAGGTGAACCCTTGGACTCACTTCCTGCCCTGGGGGGGAGCCTGAACCCCGCCTCTGTGGAGCCCCCACACCGAAGGAACCCGCGCCGGGTGTGCGGCTGGAGCGGGAGATGCGGGAGAGGCTGCGGGGAGGGGGGCTCCCCCAACCACCACGTTCCCCCAGCCACCCCCGCGTCCCCCAGCCGCCCTCCGCGCCCCCCTTCTCCCCATCCTCTCCCCTCACCGGCGACTCCCCAAGGCCGACAGGGCCCCCCAGCGCGCCCCTCTTCCCCTCTCGGGCAGCGCGCGGGTCCCGGACCCGGAGACTCAGGAGGCGGCGGGGCCCGCGGGGGGCGGGGCGGAGGCGGGAGCGGAGGCGCTTCCCGGCCGCGCTCACCGTGTCTGGCGAGGAGCGCTGAGCGGGCGAGGATGCTGCGTCCTTCTCGGGGCCGTGGACTCTCTGGCCGGGCCGCGGTGGGGTGGGCGAGGCGGGGACCGGGCCACGTGCAGGGAACTCGGGCTGGCGGGGAAGGGATGGACGCGGGGGCTCCGGGGCTTATGTTGGGCTCGGAGGAGCGCACGGGCGGGCCCGTCCCTGAGCGTGACCCCCGCGGCCGCGGGCTCGCTCCCGGCTCCCCGGGACCCTGAGGGCGCCCCCGGGGCGGGCTCTCCTCTGTCCCGCGGGCTGTTTTCACTCCCGCAGGGTTAGGGGGCTTTTGGGGCACAGATTGTAAGGTTTCGGGGCTGAGCCCCCTCCCGCCCCAGGCCCAGCAGCGGGAGGGCAGAGCGGGTGCCCGGGTGTGGCAGCTGGGGGGGAGGGTGTGTATCATTAACATGTGATTTTATTTTTTTTTATAATTAGAGCATGATTTTTTATTCTGACTTTCATTTGTAATTTTTTTTTTAATTTTGTGTGATGTTTAATATTTGAATTAATCATGTTGTGCCTGTGCCGGATGTCACTCAGCAGTGTGAAGGCAAGACGAGTCCACATTTCGGACGCGGCCGGAGTGTTGACTCCCCCTGCGGTGTCCCAGCGCGCTCCCTGCAGGTGTCTGCCTTGTGTTCTCCTCCCGCGTGAGGGGTGAGGAGAGGGTGTGTCATTAAAAGGTTTCTTCTGTGGTGGGATCACAGCACCGCCAGGATTCTCCACTTTCAACATTTAACACTAACAGAAGGACTTTCCACGCCAGTAAAGACTGTTCAGTGTTACTGTATCCAGCTTTTACATTTAATTTCGTGTATATTGGGGGTTTTTATTTGGATAGTTTCGAATCATTTTACTGTAAAGAAAGGGTTACTGAACATTTTTACACATAAAGATTTATCGGAATTTGAAATCATTTCCTTAGGTCATTTCCAAAATTAAAATTACTATTTCCATGAAAATGTATTTTAGGGCCTCCCCAGGGGCGCCGGGCTTGAGCGCAGCCTGTGGAGCTGTCCGCAGCCGCCGCAGCGCCGGGTCGAGCCCGCCGGCCTCGAAGCAGCCCGCGTGGCCGCAGGCCCCTCCCGTGTCCCGTGTCCCCGCCGCCCCCTCAGCCGTGTGTGGTCAGGCTGCCTGCTCCGCTTCCCGCTGTCTCTGGAGAATCCGCTCCCCTCCCGCACACCTGGCCTGTTCCCGGCTGTTACATTAATAAATAAATCTTTAAAAAAAAAAGTAAATACTTTAAATTCAAAGTTCCCTGCAGAGGCGCTGTGAACTTATTTCTCAGGAATGGTGAGGGCAGATTTCCTCTCCTGCCATCCTTTGTTCCGTCCCGCTGTCCTGCTCAAGCCTCCCGCCCTCCCCCTTTGTCGCGGCGCGGCGCGGGCCTCACCTGTCGCAGCTCCCGCCATTGTCCGGCGCGGCCAGCGGCGCCTTCAGGCCTCCGGCAGGTCCTGTCTCAGCCCTTTGCTGGGTCGGCCCTTTAAGTGCGCCCTCGGCACTCACGTCATCACTTCTGAGACTCCCAGGATGCACCAGGCAGAACGTGAGAGGCCGCGCCAAGAGCGGCTCCCAAAGGCACGTTAAAGGTGGAGAGGAGCTAATGTTGCCGCCTTGTGGACGCGGGTGGCATCGTGGGAAAATCGCGGTCTGAAATTCCAGGACCGGAAGTGGCCGCGCAAAGAGCATATATATATATATATTTTTTTTTTTTGGGGGGGGGAGCAGTGTCTTTATTCATTAAAGCAGGAGGTGTGACAACCTCTGCAGCCTTGTGCCCTCTCAGTGCCTGCCTGAGTGCTTCTGTGCAGAATTGTGGAGCAGGCCACAGAGCCTTGAAGCCTGGGGTTCTGGACCCCCTTCTTGCCAGCAACTCAGGCCTGGAAGCCTCGGATGGCAGCCATGAAGTCCTGCGGGCGGTCAGCATGGATCCAGTGGCCAGCGTCAGGCACTGTCTGCATCTGGGCCCAAGGGAAGAGCCGCCTAATCTCAGGGTGGTGGCAGGCACGCACAAATTGAGAATTTCCGCCTAGGAGGAAGAGGGTTGGCCCAGGGTAGGATTCCTGTTGTGGTGGGAAGGCCATGATCTTGTCCATGTGCTGGGTCAAGGCATCCAAGTTCACCCTCCACACAAAGCGCCCATTCACCTCTACCAAGTTGGTGAGCAGGAACTGCTGCACAGATATGTCCTCCCCGCGGCGTAGTGAAGGCGCGGGTGGCGCCGCCTTGTGACCCAGAGGGATAAGTTGGGGGAAACTCAGAATGATGATGGCAGTGGGGTGGGTAAGGTAAAGCGCCAGGAGGGGTGAGAAAGGTGGAGAGTAAGGCGGGAAGCGGGAAGAGGAACAAGGTGGCGCGGCTGAGCGCGGAATAATGTACGGACTGGACCGTGAATAAGATGCAGCGGTGTGTTTCAGGGAATAAAGGGCGGTGAGGACCATGTGAAAAATAACGGGGGAGGGCGCCGCCCTGTGGCCATCAGTGGCGAGACAGCAAATCCCTGACAAGTGGCCAAAGGGGAGGAAAGGCCCAGGTGGCCAAGCTCGGGTACCACGAGGGGGGCCTGTGGGGCAGAGTCGAGTGGCCTGTGGCGCAGGGAACAGCCATGACAGCCCACGGGGAAGGGGCGGCCCGCGCAGAGGCAGGAGCAGCAGAGCATGGTGGGCTTGTGTGTCCAGAGCCTTGAAGAGGAAAACCGGATAGACAAAAATGTTAGTGAGACTAGGAAATCTGTCCCTACTATTCCAGAGAAGTAAGTCCACAACCCCTCTGCAGGGAACTTTGAATTTAAAATACTTGAATGTTTAATGTAAATAATTTTATTTTTGGAAATGACCTAAAGAACTGTTCAAATTCAGAGAACACTTTATTTACAGTAATATGATTGGAAACTATCTAAATAAAAAAAAATATACACGAAATTAAATGTAAAGACTGGATGGATACAATAACACTGAATAGTTTTTAATGCTGTGGACAGTACCTATAGTGCAGTGTTAAATGATGAAGTAGAATATAAAATTTTAGCGATGATGTAAGCACACTCTCCTTAACCCTTATGTGTGAGTAGAACACGATGTAAACAACTGTACATAGAAGTGGAATATTTGCACAGAAGTGCAAATAAAAGCCTCAAGCTGCATCCAAAATGTGGACTAGTCTTGCCTTCACACTGTTGAGTGACATTCAAGACAGAAACAGACAGGATTTAATTTATTTAAATATTAAATACCAGACAAAATTAAAATCAGGTTTAATGATACATGCAGTGATACATACCAGGATATGTAGAGTGAAGAGCCAAGAAAAAATGAGTGACAGCCATATAGGGGCTTCCTTATGGACAAAGATCATGCGATGATGTAACTTTACATTCCTTGACCTATTTAATGGAAGCTCATTTTATAATTCTCAAGCTACTGCCCACCTTCTACACAGGCAGGTGCCAATATAGGGGAAAAACTAGGAAGGAAATGTACTAAGTCATAAAAATACTTTTTGATACTGTTCATCCTATTTTATTCTACTCTTCACATTTTCTATAATATACACAACTCCCTATCATTATCAGGACCAGTAACAGAAGCTGATGGAAACGCCATTGGTAAAATGACCTCCTTGCTCCTTGGCAGGGGAAAGTAATTTTTTAAAAGGCTGAAGAATTCCATGGGGTTACAGAAAAACATTTTAGGATGAAACATGGTCTCCCGCTAGTCACACAGGCAAGGGCAGAGCAGCAGTGTTGGGAGTTCACATCAAGGTCACCCTATTTTTTTTTTTTTTTTAGTGAGGGTGTTTGGCTTTCTAGCCTGAACCTGTGCTCCGGCTAAGCTTTTCAACCCAAATAAACAACTTTTGCCCCTATTCTTCATTTTTAAATTTAGAAATTTATTCTGTTTAATCCACAGCTATATATAGCTTCAATTAAAAATAAAAGTGAAAACAAGACACTCCTTCAAAGTCTGAGCCCTTCCAGCTTACAAATACAAGAAAGTTGTCTACACCTACGAGAGATGCAGGAAAAATAATGAATGGGGCCAGGATATTTCATAAAACAAAATTTTGTATAACTGAAAGCTTCTCCCTGTGACTAGTTCATTGCCATTACAACAAAAAGGAAAAAAAAAAACGACTAGAAGAGAGGGACCTCCCTGTGGGCATGAGGGGTTAGGACGCTGCACTATAAAGCACCAGCACCAGCAACTGCAGCACGAGTACCATCCCTGTCCAGGGAGCTGACCCACATGGTGCATCTCCTGTCTCCCCGCTGCTCCCCTCAGCAGTGTGTTTCAGTCAGTCTGCCTGTTCTGTCCCCACTCTGTCTCTGGTGAATCCTCTCAAACACAACCCCCATCTCTGGCTTACAACCCAGTTCTTAAGTGCATAAATAATCTTTTAAGATTTATTTATTTATGCACACAAGAACTGGGGTACAGGCCAGAGATGTGGGGGGTGAGAGGATTCACCAGAGACAGAGTGAGGAACAGAACAGGGAGATCTACTGAAATACATTGCTGAGGGGAGCAGCGGGCATGACACCAGAGGTCTGCTGCACCACATGGGACCCTCTCCAGCCAGCCAGGATCAAATCAGTGCTGCAGAGGCTGCAGACAGCTTCACAGGGCTGCGCTCAACCGCCTATGCCACCAGGGGAGGTCCTGTTTTAAATACAATTCTTAACACACCTCGCTTTATTTGCATTGAGTTAGGCCCTTCTACCTTTTGATTTTTAGATTGTAAGAGGTTATGGAAAAATTTCATCTTTATTTATCCCGCAGGCCCAGAGGTGATCTTTTTCCAAAGTCCGAGCCCTGAGCCATTGGGCGAGAGAACACCCATGGCCCCAGCAGGGGCACATTGCAACTTGAAGCAAGCAGGGAGTAGAGAAGCAGGAGACTTCCAAGAGCTCACCTGGTCATCTGGGGGGCACAAGTCAGGCTCCTGGCCAGTCACTCCCTGAAACTTTTAGTCCACCCTCAGGCCTTGTCCCAACATAACTCCGGGGCAGGAGGCATAGGCGGGTCTGTTGCAGGCTCCGCAACTCCCAACCTTTCACTGACCGTGTCCGCCACAGCCAGACCCTAAAATATCCACAAATCATTAAAACAGCAAACAAGGTTGCTTGAATTTCTGGGAAAGATTTTTTTTTTAATCGTTGTTAAAAATCCCCTTACCTGAAGCTGACATAAAAGCAAGGCGTGGGGCCTCCCTGATGGTGCAGGGGTTAAGCACCGCACTGTGAGGTCATCCGCAGCCTCTGCAGCTTGAGTTCCATCTGATGGAAAGACTGGAAAGGAGGCCTCACGCGACTAAAACCTGACTCATGCAAGGAGGTGGGCGTCGAGGGGAATAACAGGACCATTAACCCAACTGTGGAGGTCAGACCCTTAGGCGCCAGTGCCTTGTCACAGGGCAGGAGATCGGAGCAGGATCCGAAGCTCTAGGGAGTGGTGCACAGGCCTGAGGGGAAGGATATGGAGATTGCCTGTTACCTGACATCAGCAACAAGCAGCCACTCCACGGAGGAGTGACCCTCCCAAAGAGAAAAGGACTGTATCAGGGCAGTTTCTGCACGGGCTCGGGGCAGCCGTCCCTCTGCCTACCCGGGACTATGCAGGTGCCTCTTCTCATCAACTCTCTCCCTCTGCAGGGCAGCAGCCTCCTGCCTGCTGTGACCTGTCAAGGCCGCCTGCCTGCAACCATGCAGGCCTCTCTCAGCAAAACCTGTCCCTTTCCCTTTCCCTAATAAATCCGCCCTGTTTTTTGTGGGACCCTCGCCAGCGGCCGGGAACGAACAGGCACTGCAGAGGCTGCAGGCAGCACCACGGCCCAGTGCTCAACCGCTGTGCCACCAGGGAATGCCCTAAATCTGCCCTTTAATGTAACTAGTGTCTCTGTCTCATGGAGAAATGTGGCTGGGAAACTCATTGTGTCCCGCTGGAATGGGAGCTCTGGGGGCACCTTTCCCAGAGTGACCCCCAGGACCCACACACACTCTACAACCTACAACATTTTGGCGACTGTGAAGGGACTCGTCACTTCATCTGGTGCCAACATCACATCCCCAGGCGGGAAGGTGACCCACAGGGCATCGCAGACCTCTCCTGTCCCCCCACTGCTCCCCTCAGCAGTGGATTTCAGGCAGTCCACCTGCTCTGTTCCCCGCGCTGTCTCTGGTGAATCCTCTTACCCCCACCCCCACACCTCTGGCTGCACCCCAGCTTTTGTGTTCATAAGTAAAGAAATCTGTTTAAAAAATAAGTAAAAATTGGCCTTCCTGGTGGCACAGGTGGTTGAGAGCCATGCTGTGAAGCTGTCCGCAGCCTCTGCAGCACCAGTTCAATCCTGGCCAGCCGGCGAGACTCCCACATGGCGCGGCAGACCTCTCTTGTCTTGCCTGCTGCTCCCCTCAGCAGTGTATACTTTGTCAGTCTGCCTGTTCTGTTCCCTGCTCTGTCTCTGGTGAATGCTCTCACCCTCCAGTGCATCTGGCCTGTACCCTGGTTCTTGTATAAAAATAAATAAATCTTTAAAAAATAAGTAAAATAAAAGCATGACTAAAACATCATTTACCTGCAGATCCTGACATGGATCCTATTGCAAACATTACAAAGCAGCTGCTATTCAAAATATATTGTGAGAAAAATGAAGGCTCTCGGCTCCACATGGAATGTTTCTTGTTGTACACCATGGTGCAGGACAATACACTTTGGCCCAGACTCTGACATCCCTGGGTCTATTCCGTGGTTTGGTGTAATATTCAGCCTTCAGCCAGGAGCCTGTGTTTATTTGAGGGGCACAGACGGGTCTCCTGGGGACTGTGCAATCTTGGGTTTTGTTTCCTGAACCGAGGCTGGCCTCTCTCTGCTTTTGGATTGGTGAGCTCTATAGAGGATCTTCTACTGCCACTTTCACTTTAGTTTTCTGGTTCTATTTCCCTGCTCAGCTTTTTCTTTTTTCTTTTTTTTCTCTTTTCTCTTTAAATTATACAGGGGATCTCTTGTTAACATTTCTTTCAGGGAATATTTGTTAGTGGACCACTTCTTCAGCTTTTGTTTGTCTGGGCAGAATATTTTTACTCTCTTGTCTCTGTAGGATATTTGTGACCCATATATTTAGGATATTAGGATATTTGTGACCCATATATTTTATCTCTATTCTGAATACATTATTTCATCCTCTCCTTGCACTACAGTCCTCCAGAAATGTAAGTTGGGTCCATCCCCACATATGCACGGTCCATGACAGAAACTTGTTAAGAGGTGCTAGGATCTGGACCTCATCCTGGTGTGGTTACCTGAAAGTTCTGAAAGGATAACTCTACAAGACTTTCCATGAAATCCAGCATCAGGAACATCATTGGTACACTCTACCTATAGACTAGAGAGAGAGAAATTGGAGAAAGATGAAAATTTCCATAGAAAGCAGTCCAATAAATCCAGAAAAGAAGAAAATTATTATATAAGGAAAAGAGAGCCAAGATCACCCATCTTCTGGGGCACAAGGACCATAGGGAAAGCTTTTGGTATGGGGACCTGGCAAGAGTTTTGTTTATTGTTGGAGTGCTATGCAAGAAATCCCAGGTCCAGACATGCAAATGAGCCCTCTTACTTTCCTTTTGCTTTGTGAAATGAATGTGTATACTATTGTAAAATAGTCTTTGTGGGCCTCCCCTGGTGGCACAGCAGTTGAGCGCTGGGTTGTGAAGCTGCCTGCAGCCTCCACAGTGCTGGTTCAATCCCTGGCTGCCGGGAGGGTTCCACATACTGCACAGACCTCTCCTGCCACCCGCTGCTCCCCTCAGCAGTGTACTACCTCAGCCTGCCTGTTCTCCTCCCTGCTCTGGCTCTGGTGAATTCCCTCACCCTCCCATGCTTCTGACTGTACCCAGTGCCTGTATAAATAAATAAATAAATCTTAAAAAAATAATCTCCTCTGTACTCACTGAGTATTTCTGCTGGGAGAAAAAGATGAATACGTCAGATGAATACGTCAGCAAACATTTCCATTTTAAAGCCATTTCAGTGACTCATTCTTGGCTGCCACCATATAAGGCCAAATGTGGCATTTACTCTATGATGCTAATTAATTTCATGCATGTTTGCCTGGGGCATTATTTCACTTCCCTGGATGTTCCTATGAGATTCAGAATTGAGAGTATTATTCATTGTACACAAAAATATAAGGGTCTTTGTAATGCAGTCAAATATAAATGACATTTTAGGGTATCATCACTGTGAATGTTACATGAATCTCAAAGTCAAAAATCTGTTCACCTTATTAATTCAAGCATTAATTCAAGCATTCACCTTAATTCAAGCATTTTCTACATGGATATAGAATACTGAGTTCAATTCTTTCCTCTGTTTAGTGAGATGAGCTCTTTATACTGACCTTGTTTTTGCAGATTTATTTCATTCTATTGTTCCCAATATGAGTTAATTTTCATTTGAGGGCTTTATATGTACCTAGTTGGCCAGAAAATTGAGCAGGCAAAATATAAACAGACCAAAAAAACCCACAAAACCTGCAACAAAAAACACCCTCTTACATTCAGAACAATTGAATAGCAATATTTCTCTATATTAAAGACAAGAAGCTACCTATAAATCCTTTTTCAATTCCATAATAGTTATAGCCTGAAATTAGTGATGCAAAAGTAGCTTTCCCAGTTCCTGTGCAGTTATGAGTGATCATATGACCTCGTTCTTCCCAATACAAAGTGAACAAAGGTGATAGATATTACCTCTGGACATGATAAGAAGCTCATGTTCCTTCTCAACGACCTCTTAGTCACATCCAAAGAATTGATGTAATATACTATGATATTATCTAGGATAGTTGATCTATGAGCCAGAGGTTGCTAGTATTCTTATAAGACCAAGCAGGAAAAAAATGGTTCAAGAGAACTGTTCTAAGAAGGAATTTTTTATTCTGTTGAGCTGTTGCATTTGGATTTAATGATCACCACAATCTTGTGCGTCTTCACTAACCTTTACAATATATATACTCTCTGCTATTGCTTACAAATCTTTAAGATTTCCAGAGATCCCAGTCTATGTATCTCCCTAGGAGCTTCTCTAACTTCACCTACTTTTCAATCCAGTGCACATACTCTGTGGGTATTTCAATGTGTTAAAGACTTTACTTTGGGGGGTGGGGCAGAATGTCATACATATTGGTACGAAATGAAATTTTTACTGGAATGATAACTATGACATTAACAATGCATGGCGATAAGTAGTGATTTTACCACTTCTAAAAACAGAATACATCCCCTTAAATTTAGCCAATATTATTTGTTGTGCCCATGAACATTATCCAACAGGTTTGATGACACCGCACTTCCTGCCTTCATATTCAGACAGTGAAAGTTGTTTCATGGGACAAGTGTTTTAGATGAAAAGGAACAGGTAGGAAATAAAAGTGTAATGCAAATCTAGACCCATAGTTGGATAGTTGACAGCTGCATGTCTGCAGGAAAAAAAAGAGTCAATATTTTCTGGGAGGATAGATTGAAATGGGATTAAAGTACAGCTGGATTTTATCTGATGCTCCATAACAGTACACATTTCTCTCAGATGTAAACCAAGTATCTGGATGAGTCTGACGACTTAGACTATTCAGTAATCACAAATTCTATCACTTTTCTTTGTATATAAATATTGATAATTTTATATATTTAATGTGGCATTTCAGAAATAAGAATGTGTTGCTCAGTACCGTTGAATAGATTCAGGTGTGCTCAATGATGCCTGTGTGATGACTTCTTTAAAACCTTACCAAAATAATGTACACAATTCGTGGTATTTTTACTAGACTGTGAAAGATATGACCCGTGATCCCAAGAACTGTGAATTTTGAATGGTACTACACTCAGATTCTTCTAGAAATTTCCTAATTATGTTTATATATTACCTTGATCAATATGTTTTCAATGTTATTCAGAAGAAAATAGACCTTTTATTTACATATATATAAAATACACTTTTCAAGAAACTATTAACCGTTCTTCCATCAACATTCAGTTAATCTTATTTATTAAATAAATTAAATCCCCAAATACTTTTTTTGGTTTTATGTTTGTCAGGCAGAATTGTATGTTCATTTTTATTATATTCCTATGCATAATGTGAAAGTTACTGGCAAAATGCAGAGGTAATTCACATGAGGAAAAGTTTTCTGG